GTGTTTTAATCGATTGAAAAGAATTCTGATCGCTTATAATTTGATTCTGATCGATCATCCTGACCCTTTAAGTGATTTTAATCGATTGAAACGTGTTTTAATCGATTGAAAAGAATTCTGATCGCTTATAATTTGATTCTGATCGATCATCCTGACCCTTTAAGTGATTTTAATCGATTGAAACGTGTTTTTAATCGATTTAAAAGATTCTGACCGCTCATAATAAAAGTCTGATCGATCACAATGAGTTCTAAATGGTTTTAATCGATTAAAAACAAGTTGTATCGATTAAAATACTCGTAAAAACACTTCTTTGAACATTCTAAGTGATTTTATTTGGTTCTTTCAAAACTGCATCAGCTTAAAAACATGTTTTAAGAAAGCTTTTGTAAAAAAACTTTGTTTTTAGTTGTTTAAAACAATTTTAGAGGCTTTTCGCAAAAATCTTTAAGTGAAGAACCTTCATGCAATAGAAAAGATAAAATGTTTTTACCTAATCATTCTGTTTAAAACATACTAAATGATCCATTTTCTTTGAATAAATACAAGATACAAATAGTTCATTTAACTATAGGAACCCAAATATATTTACCTTTAGGAACACCAAAATGTTTGATTTTACACTTATTTGAAGTGTGACCTTGTTTCATGCAATAAAAACATGCTTTTGATGTAGCTATGGAATAAGATGCATTATTTACATGACATGCTCTAGTTCCTTTTTCTACCCATACTCTTTTCTTTTTAGATTTACTCTTTTTCAAAGGAACTCTTTGATTTACATTATTTTGAGCAATTACCATTTCATGCTTCTTAAGATCATCAATTTCTTTTTCGGCTTTGTCAAGCAAATGGTTAAGAATATCTATGTCATATTCATGCTCTTTACAATTTGCACAAGCTAAGTCCTTATTCTCATCTAAGCATATAATTTTCGTATTAGCTACCTCCTTTTCTTCTAAACATGCAATTTTCAATTTTAAGGACTCATTTTCCTTTTCGGATCTTCTTAGATTTTTCTTTACAACTTTATATTCTTTTTCATATCCATAAATGCAATAAATAACTCATTATAAGCATTTTGCAATTCATCATGGTCATTTTCTTCACTAGAGGATGAATCGGAATCACTAACCTCAAAATCGGAAGAAATGATGTCATTTGCCAACAAGCAAATGTTAGCTTCTATTTTTGAGTCGCTTGATTCCGAAATTGAGTCACTATCATCGGTTCCTTCATAAGTTACTCTTAGTTTTGCCCACATCTCTTGAGCACTCTTACAAGTGGATATTCTGTAAAACTCATCAAGGGTTAAAGCAGATGAAATTATATTTCTAGCCCTAACATCATATTGGGCTTTCCTATTTTCTTCATCCGACCATCTAGAAAATTGTTTTGGTACTTCTACTCCATTTTCAAAAACTTTAGGAATAAAAGGATCGTTTAAAATAGCGTCCCAAACGCCTCTATCAACAGACTCTAAAAAGATTTGCATACGTACTTTCCAAAAAGGATAATTTTGACCCGCAAAAAGTGGAGGTCTGTTGATAAACGCACCTTCGGCAAAAGTTTGATTTTGTCCGACCATTTTCGAAAATATTTGAATGACTATCAAAGCAAGCTCTGATACCACTTGTTAGAATCGCGCAGCGGAATGTTCGCGTGGTCGGACAAAAACCAAGAGGGGGGGTGAATTGGATTTTTAATAAAAATTAGGTTTTCAAAATTTTCCCCAAATTTTACCGATTAAAAACTGCGTAAATGTAAATAGAGAAGAGTAGAGAAGATTACACAAGTAGGTTTATACTGGTTCGGATCAAAAGACCCTACGTCCAGTTGCTAATCACTCAAAAGAGGATTAACGCCGTCACTAAGAACAAATTGTTACAAACAGATTACAAATGAACAGATAAAGATCGGAAAACACCTCTCTTGAAATCCACAAGAGATGAAGAACAGCTTTCCCTAGAGACGAGACAACGACACAATCCACTAAGAACTCCACTTAGTGATTCTTATCGCTTCTAGCCTCACACCAGGTTCCAAAAGCCCCTTTCCTTGCAACAAACAGCTTCTCGGCACTCGCAAGCACTTAACTTTTGTATGGAAAGAGTTGTTCTTGTTTTCTCGAGTGCCAAAGCAGAGTTTAAGTAGGGAAATTAGGGTTTAGGAATTGGGGATTTCGAAACTAGGGTTCTTGGTAATTGGGTTTTCGAAAATAGGGTTAATTTGAAATTTAAAATGAAAAACAGATCGAAATAATCGATTATTTGGAGTGATAATCGATTAAAACAGAGCCAAATACGTCGTAACCCAAACCTCTCTAGATTAATCGATTATTTGGTGAAATAATCGATTATCTGTACGGATCAAGTACAAAACAATCGATTATTTTGTCGTTTTAATCGATTAAAACAGTGAGTTTGTATAGAAAGTGTTTTCTCACTCGTTTTAATCGATTATTTACCTATATAATCGATTAAAGCCGAGCCTAAATGATAAATTTGAGCTTTTTGAAGCTTCTAAGTTACGGACTATGTACTGGCTATCTTAGACTCTAAAAATACAGACTCAATCTTAAATAAAACAGAGTTATTACAATACAATTATCACCAATCTTCAATCTTCAATATTCTAAGTCTTTAGTTCTTGGATCATCATCAAAATCCATTCTTCATATTCATCAAGTGCAACATCAAGTCCTTGAATTGTCAACATTGAGTTCTTATAAACAACCACGAAACACTACTCATGGATTACCATGAGGGAGAGAGTGATAATAATGAGAGGAAGAGATGCAGCTAAGGAGATGCATAAGAGCATCATATATGTATTTAAATATAAATATAATTTAAAACTTCAAATTAAAAAATAATATAAAAATTCTTATAAATTTAATATATTAAAATTTTTAATTAAAAATAATATTATTTTTTTATATAATTAATTCGTATATTCTTTCGTAGAGAATTTTCCATAGTTATTTAAAAAAACAACAACATTATGCTCTTATAAAGCCCTTTAAGCAACATGGTTTGGAGGCCCTTTTATGTGTCCCACATGTTGTGGCTATTAATGCAATGAAGGGTTGGTCCTATCCTATAATCCTACCTGTTTGGGGCAATCGTGGACCTCAAGACTGTGAGATTTCCGAGCCATGCTTATGCTTTTGGTCGCATACATCACATGACAGTAAGGCAAATGAAAGCCTAGTGGGTTTTTCTTTAACAACCCCTTTTTACTTTTCCTTTCTTTCTTTCGTTCTTTCTTCACTTTCTTTTCAATAATGAATAATCACTTGTTTACAAAATAATTTTTTCTCTTTCTTCATACAAATGCTTACTTTTAATATGATCTTAACATGAATTTACTGTTATTATTTTACATCATGTTTGTAACACAACGATGATGTCTTGAAAATTTGGTAATAAATCGATTTTGTTTTGTATGTCACATTAGATTTTATTTTTGCACATAATTATTTAACTAATTCGAAAAATATACTAAAATGGGAAAAATAATGATTATTAAGTGTTAAAAGTGTGAATTATTCAGATATTTTATTACAAGAGTTAAATTGATTTGTTTCCAGGATTTTGTTATGAAAGCACGAGAGTGTGATTATAAATAGAGAAGACCGTTGACAACAACTTGCATGGCGCATTTATGTAAACGCACGTTGAGTATTGGAAAAATGAGATTCTGGCCAGAATATGATATATCAGTTCACTGCATGTGAAGAGAAGAAAGCTACTATATTTATTAACTGCTTCTCAACCAACTATGCCATGCCACTCTCCATCTCGTGAATCAAATCATTAGCATCATCCATTTTCATTTTTCAATTTATATAATCTTTTCCACTGCTAAGCATAAACTGTTACTCCTACGTTCGTGTCATGTGTTATGCAGAGATTTTATTACATGATTAACCTTATGAATCTTTATATTTATTCTCTAGTGTATATGTCTCTCACACACACACACACACATACATATATATATATATATATATATATATATATATATATATATATATATATATATATATATATATATAACTTATCCAAGTCATCCTTTATAAATATGTTGCCACTAAACATTATAATGATTGGTTAAAAACTAATTTGTTAAGAATAATATCTAAAAGGGATAAAGGCTAGTAATTATGATGTAAAATGTTTTTTTTTAGAAAAAAACAAGTTCATTTTTCTTAATATTCAAATTTATTTTGTCATATGTTTCATGACAATGTTCATAATTCTCCTTCCAAGAGCCCATGCTTTGCTAAATATTAGTTACTTTCAAAGAGAAATATTAGACCAGTGGTTTTGAAATTAATTTGTGGAACAACATTACTTTTAAATGTTTTTATAAAAAAGTTTACACAAATATAAACAAAACACTTCATTTTTTTGAAAACTTCTGTGCCAAACTCAATTAAACAATATTTTCATTAATTAGATTATCTATATAATAATCAATAAAACAACAATCTTTTATATGTTTTGTCTCCGATTTTAATATCTGCTTTTATTGTGATAATAACTAAATTACTATTATTATTTAAAATAAATTCAAATTCAGACAAGCACACTGGATCGGCCCCTCACGTACAAACAAATCATGTTCTTTGTTATCGTACGGCTTTCATGGGGTCATTGCTGTGTGCGAACCATTTCATTGCAATTTGCAATCTCCATACATACTACACCTTCAATTATTTACATCTGAGTTACAGCATTATATCTTTTTCTCTTCCTCAAAAATAGGCTACTCAACAAAAAAATTAGATAAATATACTAAAAATAATTTTAAAAGTAAATAAAATAAAAAATAAAATAAAATACAGATCATTATAACGTTCGTCCACCGAAATTGTTGACAACAATAGTCCAAACAAACCCAAATGCCCCAAAAAAAATACACGTGGCAATAATAACAAATCTGTATCATTTCAAACAAATAACCCGGTTCGGTTTAGCTTTTAGTTTTCGTGTTTAGCGAACCGCACATCCGTGACGCGAGAATCCCATCCGCGACCGGTCCAAATCGAATTCAAACAGGTACCCCTGCTGCATCAAATTCCCAATCACAGAAAAACCAGAACCCGGTCGAACCGGCTGTACCGCGAGGCACTTTAATCCCTCCACCGGCTCAATGAAATAATTTCCTGTCGGCGGCGACAGCGCCGATTTTCCAGCAAGGACGAAACTTAGCTTCGGCAGCTTCGGCCTCGCCGCGCCGGAGACATTAACACAAAGGTCGAACCCGAGTGCGGCGGCGTCCTTCGCCACTAGAAGCTTCACACGCCGCCGGACCGCTGCCAAAATCTGCCTGTAAGCTGGCTCCGCGAAAAACGAGAGCGTGGTGCCAGTATCCACGATAGTGCCGCCGTTTCCGTTGACGTCAATCCCCCAAACGGAAGGGTTTATCGGTAACCTAACGCCGTCGACGGAGACACTCTCGATGGTGATGTAATAAAACGTGGGAGAGAGAGGGTTAGTGACAAATGGCGTGTAACTGAAAAGCTTCCGGGAATCGACATCGTTGGAGGAGGCTCCGATGGTGAGATAGCTTTTGGGGGGCGGGGATAGGGTGTAATCAAGTAGACAATAAGAGAAGGTGTTCCCGAATTTGCGGCCAAGTTGGGAAGTAAACGAGATGGGCCCGCGGCCCAGGCCCATTACGCCCTGCGCGCCGTTGAAGCTGGAGCCTGTTACGCTGGGGCCTGAGGTTTTAAACCCGCACCCGAAGGCGAAGTTTTTAATTTTCACTTGTTTGTTAGAGCTGGTGTTGAACGTCGTCGTTTCCTTGGAGAAGAGGCCCGTTGTGGTGGACCCGTCCGCGTAGGAATATTGGTAGCGGCATGGTGTGTGAAGTTTGGTGCGATTGTTACAGTGTGTCGCAGTGGGATGAGGAACGAGTCGACACTGCGAGTCGTAGCAGTGGTGGGTGGAGAAGGTTATGGAATGTCGGGGGAGGAATGCGGATCCGGAACGGTGGGTGGAGCAGTTCCGGCAGGCGGAGCATTTTACCCAGACGAGGTCGCTGCCTGTGTCGACCACTAGGAGAAGGCGTTGCGGCGGGGATCCGATTCGGAGGTCCGCAAAGTACTGCCCGGAGCCCGTGGCGGCGCCTGAAGTGAGCGGGGACTGAGGCGAAGTGCGGCGGCTGGACAGGCGGCGGAGATCAGCGGCGAGGATGTGGGAGGTGTTGGAGAGTGAGGTTGTAGGGAGTAACGGCAACTTGAGGTACTCCGTTGAAGAATGTGTGAGGGTGAGAATGCTGAAGAAGAAGGAGAAGAAGAAAGAGTGGTGTGAAGCCATTGCTGAAAGGGAGAGACTGGAGAAAGTGAGAAATAATGGTGGGGTTGAAGAAAGAAAATGAAAGAGAAATGAAAGGAAGATCGATGCCACGCGTTTTGGCGGTGTGGAGGCTGTACTTTCATACGTACCTATTTCTGGTTCGGCTTTGGACGTATTTTTTCTGAATTTTGAAATTTATCTCGATTATAGGATGAATTTGAATTTGTGGAAAATAATTAATTAAAAAATTGTAAAAATATAATGATTTGAATTAAAGAAAAGAGTATAGAAAATATGAGAAAATAAAAATTTATAAATAATTTGATTGATTTAAATAATAAACAAATATTTTAGTAAAAAAAATTAAAAATGATAAATTTATTTTTTAAAGAAAAAGAAAATAAATTATTTAATAGGGAGACTTATATAAATATATACGGATAAATTATGTTTTTCATTTTATTTCCTCACTCAATTTTCTCTTTCTCAAATTTATTTTATTTACATTTTCATAAATGTATTCTAGGAAATATGTTAAGTGAAAAAACTCTTATTGTGATAAAATGTATAATGCATTTATATAGTTATGTCAGATGATGACTATTAAAAATAAGTTAATAATATTTTACGGTGTCGTTTCGAATATTAAGTATTTGATGATAAAATATTGAAATAGAAATAGGGTGATAAAGATTGTGAATACCGAATAGTGAATTTTGTGTGGTCTTTGGGCATTTTTGGACGCATGATCATTGCCTTTGTGAAAACTTTGCGTTCAATAGTTATGATCCAGGTCGTATTTCCAGCTGTTTTTACTTTTATTCTTTTTACGATGTTGGTTTTGTGTCATCTTTTGGCACAGATGGTGCATGTGTTGATGTGTTGATTGAGTGTGACAATGTTGTCTTTTGCTTTATTCTGCTTATTTATTAATGATACTTTCTCTCGCGAGATTAGCACTGTTATCTAAGACATGTAATTTTGTCTTCATTCAAAATTGGGATACGGGGAGAGACGAACACGTTCACTACTAGGCATATTTCACCACCAGTTGTCATAGTCATTGCCATGGCCATTAATGGCCTTTCATTTCTTATGTTACTATTTATCAATATAAAAAACATCACATACATTTTTATACATACATGCATGCGTTTAATGCAATCTTAATAGGAACAAGTTTCAAAGATTTTATCATGTTCAATGATATATCTAAATCTGACTTCAGCCATTAATTTATGCTCGGATTTTGAATGAATAAGCTTTTTAATAGTATTTATTAACTACGCCAAAGCCATAGGCATGGGGGCATGGGAGACACAAAGTAATTCAAATGCTTAGCTTCTGCATTCTACAATTTTATTAACTAATCAATTAATGACTTCACATTCCGACATGAGTGATAATTAGACGACAAAAATACACACATTTGCCTTCTTATGTGCTATGTTGTCTGTATTTAATTATAAAAATTATTATCATAATATAATTAAATTGAAATAACAATCAAAATATGCCAGCTACTATACTATGTACGGTTGTGATTGTTTGCAAGACGGTGGCACAAACACCATAAAAGATATAAATAATTTTATTCAAGTTTTGTTTTTTATATAAAACTAAAGTATAATGTTCTAAAAAATGATGAACTTGGTATCTTTAATTTGTAATTGGATTCAAAGGTTCACATGCCCCAATGTGGTTAAGATTCCAACGCTTAATATCCTATTTGTTTACAGTGACAAAGTATACAAGGTCAAGAATACGTGAATTTTAGGTATTTCAACGCAAATTTTTCTTAAAAAAAAATCATATTCTATCCAATGTAAAAAATAAAAAAAAGTTTTTTTTAATACATATAATCAATTATATTCTTATACGTAAGTAAGAAATAAATTATATATTCGATTTCTTTTTTATATTAATAAATAATTAAAAATTATATTAATAAATAATTAAATATTATATTAAAATATATTAAAATAATAAATAATTTATTTCATTTTTTATTTTTTATTTTTTATTTCAGATAATTAAAATTTTCATTCTTTTTCTTATTTTTCCGCTCAATTCTTCATTTCAATCTAAAGAATGCCAAAATCATATATATATATATATATATATATATATATATATATATATATATATATATATATATAATTTCATTTCATTTAACATGATGTACCACTCGTTAAAATTTAAAATTGAATTTTAACATAGAAGGTTGATGATGCATGGTATCTTAGAAAAAAAAAATTATGTTCGACGTATATATTTTGTATGTTTTTAGACGAAACTGAAGGTGCATATTTAAAGTTATGATAAATATAAAAAAAGATATAAATATATGAAGAAATAAAGTAAATTTATCGTCATTAATATCGGTTTCATATTATTTCTGGTGGAATTTCGATCGATTTCGACTCCTAAGATATTTTGATCCTAATCAAAATTCTACCACGTAAGTTCTTTTGTTTAAGCTAGCAAATTAATTTTCAATCAAAATGTGTATGAGGATCGAATTTTATCCGATTTCAAAGATACTATTTTTGGTGTTTTGTATTAAGGATACTCAAAGTAAAGAAAACAGAAAATATATGGAATCGAAAAGTAGTCTTGAAACTTAGATTGCAAAGAAACGTGAACTACGAAAATCTTAAATTTGCTTAAGTGTAAAAGACAAGGAATCGAAACAGCAACAATGTAAATATCGAGAAATCGAATTTACAAGAAATGTAAAGGACAGTAAATCAAAGGTGCAATAAATGACTGGAAATCGGAATTGCATTAATGTAAAATGACCAGAGAATTTAAATACGGAAACTTAACTTGTATTGAATTGAAATGACCAAGAATCGAAAATACAGAAACATAAAATTGTTGAATATAAATTGCATCAAAGTAAATTACCAAGGAAAATACAAAAAGCGATAAAGGTACTCCGTGAGCATAGAAATCCAGATTGTCAGAAGCTTCATGGTGTTCGTCGTTTCTCCGGTAGACTTTTTCACTACTAATCCTGTTCTCTGCCAATTTTTGCCCCCTGTTCCTTCCTCACATTCTGCGTGCATGTTGCAGTTTATCTTCTACGGTTTCTCACGTTCTCACGATCTTCGACTTCTATTATGGTTTAGAAACTGCTTCCTATGTGTGTTTGACTATTCTTCCTTTCACGATTTTGGCCAAAGTCTCGATGTCCACGTAGGTTGACTTTCTTCACTCTCGATTTAATGTTTTTGAGAACTCCAAATTGCTTACGATCCCTTTTTAACCTTGATCTCATATAACTCTAATTTCTTAGTTTTTATTCGACAATAGACATTTGGTTATCATTCACTCGATTCTCGATTGTGCTTCTCGATGTTATGTGCTACGTACTTCTAATTAGACATCGAATGATTTTTTATCTATCTTATCGATTTATCAATCAGTCACATTTCTTTCCTTCGTTTTTGATCGCTTTTCTCGATTTGCCACTAACACATATAAATTTATTCAGAGAAGAAATATGACTTAATGGTTATTAGATGAGCATAAGACACTTTATACATGTCCAAAAAATTTAAAAATCTCTTTTCAATAAAAAAATGAAGTATACTCGAATCTATAATAATGCATTTCATTTAATGTCTAAACAATATTCAAGGTCAGAAATATAAGTGAATTTATCCATATGTCTAACCTTAACAACACCTTCGTTAGATCCTCTATATTATATTTACAAAATATTTAAACCACTCTCGATTTATCCAATTTGTGTTTTTAGGAATAAAAGCAATAACAATAGTGGAAATCACCACCACCAAAGCAATTTCAAAAGTTAGTATAATATGTAATTAATCAAAAGACAAAAATAAAAAGATATAAATAAATATGTGATATATCTTAATTGTCTCTTGCTTAGAAAAGATAAATTATGTGGGAATTTGTTTTATTAATGATCTTTATTTTGTGAGTTATGGTAACAATAAATGTTAAAATTCAAATTGGTGAAGATTCTATGGAACTAACACGTTTGAGAAACATGAACAAGGTAAAAAGCTTTTTCTTCACATTCATGCTAACTTACCTCAACAAAAAAGACTATGAAGTTGTGGAGAGGTTCAATGACAAGGACCACCATTAAAGAGGAGTTTGTATCTCATTTTTATTTTTCTATTATTTTACTTGCTTATGAAAGAGGATGAACAACAAATTCCAATCAATTAACAAATATTAATAAAAAAGATATAGGTGGGAGATATGTGAAAATTCTATATAAATTGATACATGGTGGACCATCTATCATTTTTTTTCTAAATGTTCTAACAAAATTTAGACTATCTTTCCCAAATGTTGTTTAATTTTATTCTATCTACTAATTTGATATATTCAATAAAAAATGTTGATTTGAAAATGAAGAAGTGTTATATTAGTATTTCTGTTAAATATTTAACGTTTTTTAAACAATATACAAAACAAAATTACATAAGTAGAATAGTATAGTATTAAATTTTTTAAAACCTCAAAATATATAAAAATATCTGGAAATTTCCGAAAATACCCTTTGTGATTGAGTTTAATGTAGGGCTTATGACAGTGCAGAATCGAGAGAATAAGAAATGGATGCGATTCTGAAGGTGGCAATCCAATTACCCATATTTTCCCCACTCGATAACCAGAACCCGACCCGCGAACGTTCTTCCACGGAGCTACGTTTCTCTCGTTGGAACAACGCCAACGCGGAGAAGTTCAACCAGCGCCGTCGAACACTCCATGAAATCGAAAACGAAATCTGCCGCACTCGTCGCTACACCGCTGCCGATAATATCGTTAACACTGCCACCACCGCCACCGGCATTTCGACCACCTCCGAAACTTTTAAATCCCTCGGAACTCCCTCCGCTCCGTCGCAACCTTCAATCCCGGGAAAAAAATCGAAATACTCGAAACCACCGCCGAAACCAAAACCCTTGCTCGATTCGCATCCCGTGGTTTCGCGAGCGGCGAGACTGGAATTTCGGCCGGGGCCGGAGAACGTCAAAATCGGCGAGGACGGAGTGTCGTACGTCGTCGACGGCGCGCCGTTCGAGTTCAAGTTCAGTTACACGGAGACTCCTAAGGCGATTCCGGTGAAATTGCGAGAGCCACCGTTCGTGCCGTTTGGACCGGCCACCTTGCCGCGGCCGTGGACAGGGCGGAACCCTGTGCCGCCAAGCAAGACGACGGTGACAGAGTTCCACTTGCTTGCTCCTCCGCTGGCGGATGAGGAGGGGGTTGAAACGGTCCGGTTAGCCGGTCCGGTTTGGGAGTCGAGGGAGGAGGTATTGGGAGAACCGTTGACTAAGGATGAGATCATTCGCTTGGTTAAGAGCACAGAGAAATCTTTGCGCGAGCTACATATTGGTATTTTCTTTTATTTATTATCTATTATTCCTGTTTTATTTATTTTTTGTTTTTAATTTTACATATAATTTAATTACGATGTCAGTGGAAAAATTATCAAGTGGTTAGAAATCAAGTTGGCAATTTACCAATTTCAGATTGAATAGCAGTTTAAACCTAAAAAATATCTTTATGGACTATATTCTAATTAGATTATCATATTTTATTCAAAAGTTCCATATCATTTTAGTGTATTTACTGATTGTTATAGGTGTATGCATGCGTATCCTTACGGAGGGCTTGTGCTTATCATCCGTATTTTTCAGTTTATATTATTTTGCTTTAAAAAAATGCAGGAGTATTATGAGCAAAAATAATTAGATGCAATTCTGCAAGTGTTTTTAAGTCTATTCGAATAAATTTCTTCATAATTACTTATAAGAGATTAAAAAAATTGATCAACTTTCATGAATTACAGTTCATGAGAAAAGCTTTATAAAACTTAAAGTGCTGAAGTTGATGTTAGTTTATGATAGAAACTCTTTTTCTTCTCTTGCAAGTGCTTACAGTGAAGTTTACTCAAGAAGAGTCTTTGTATTTCTCTCATGCATTTTGACTTTGATAATGGAAAATTTACTTTTGTCACTCAAATTTTCTGTTTTAGGCAGGGATGGTTTGACACATAACATGTTGGAAAATATACATACTTATTGGATGCGGCGCAGCGTGTGCAAGATAAAATGTAGAGGAGTGTGTACCGTTGACATGGATAACGTGTGCCAGCAGTTAGAGGTTTGTTTCTTCTTCTTGTTTATCTTATCATTTGCTTGTTGCTTTTACCATTTTTATGAGTATAAACGTGTTTTTTATACTTTGAGAAACCTTTGGATATAAGGAACTCATTTTGTGTCCTGTGACCTGTTGTCTGATTTTGCCAGGGAAGGACTGGGGGAAAAATCATTTACAGACATTTTGGCACAGTGTACCTTTTCCGGGGGAGAAACTACAACTATGAAACACGGCCACGATTTCCCCTTATGCGGTGGAGACCAGTGTCTCCAGTATATCCTAGGCTGATAAAACGAATTCCAGAAGGTCTAACACTTGAAAAAGCAACTGAAATGCGTCAAAAGGGAAGGGACCTGATGCCCATACGCAAGCTAGGTAGATAGATTGTTTTGGACATTCATTACAGTTTAACCATTGATCTTTATTCAAAATAATATATCCATATCTTTTAATTTTTTTGCAGCAAAAAATGGTGTTTATTGGGACCTTGTGACTAATGTCAGAGAAGCATTTGAACAGTGTGAGCTTGTTCGTATAAATTGCCGAGAACTAAATACAAGCGACTATAAAAAGATCGGAGCAAAGCTAAAGGTATAACCATGTTCACTTATGCTTTGCATTCAGTATTGAAGACAATAAGCATTGACTTATGTAATGTGAATTTTACTAATGATGCTATAACTAACATCTTTTCCTTCTATATATGTTTATTAACTATAGGATCTTGTTCCATGCTTATTGCTTTCGTTTGAAGATGACCACATACTTATGTGGAGAGGACTAAATTGGAGGCCCTCTTTACCAGATCCCAGAGATGATGACAAGGAAGTAGATAAAATTGATGTTGACAGTGGAAATTCCAATAAACTCCCTTCAGATGCCCAAGAATTGTCATCACCATGTCTACAGAAGAATCCGTATGAGAATCTATGCAATGAACCTCTCGACATTAACATTTTATCTAATTCAGTTTATTTGAGTTTGCACAAAGCTGTGCCTTGTGTCACAGAAAATAGCAATCAACCTTTATTTGTTGTCTCTGATACTACCTCACTCCCTATGAAAACTTGTGAAGTTGAAACCGCAGCAGGTTGCAAGCCACCAATGGTCCCTGGAACTAATAAAAATTCTGTCAGTAACATAGAAGATCTTCATTCGGACAAGTTGGTCGATGATTCAGAAGCAGCAGATATCTGTGAGCCATCAACGTGTGCACCATGTACAGAAGGAGTTTTATTACTGTTGGAGCAAGCTGTTGAGAAAGGCAATGCACTTGTTCTAGATGATAAACTTTTGGATGATGACTACATTTATCAAACCACAGTGGCTTTTGCTAAATCAACTCCACCCGAGCCTGTTTATAAACTATCTAGACAGGTTATGATCGTAAGAAGTGACAGGCAAGAAGATTTCACACTTGAGACAGAATACTTCTAAGTTCAAATTCAAATTTCTATTTGTATTAGTCGTCTTCTGTTTTTAGTGGCACTAGAGTAGGTTATCTATTTCCACCTGTTTGGCAGAGTTTTTCTTGCAATCCTTCATTTTTTCATGAATTGTGTACAGGCTTTAAAATGTGAGTGTTATTCACGAGTTTCATCCATTTTTCAACTATAGAGTCACTCAGGTGAGCAAACACTATTGGAATGGAATTATTTTGCTCACATTACTATACTGGTTAATGGACATTGGAATTTCTTCATGGCTATAAAGTTTCTTCAATTTTACTCTGTTAATCTCAATGCCATAAAATTTCAGAGAAGATGTACTCGTTGGTTTCAGTTTTTGACACCAGAATGGGATATATGATCTCTGGAACTGGTTTGATGACCGAACTTGGTAAGCTATTGGTGTTTCGTTTTGAAGAGTTTTTATACTTGCATAGTATAAACAATATATTGTTAAATGTTTCTGAATATAATATTATGTCTGTTTTTCCTGTCGATTTAAAGGTATCCCCTTGGTCGTGTAATTGGTGGGACTGTCTTAGTTTGACCTTGACAGCAGGCAACTTACGGTGGTAGGCATTTGAAACACAGTAAATGTTGGTTATTTTATGCTGTGACTTTTGTATTTGTCATATGCTAATATATTATATATACATGCAAGTTTGAAGTTTATGTACTTTGATTGATATTTTTTCAACATTCCCTTCTGGTTTCAGGAAACTGAATTCCCTGAACATATCTCTCTCAGTTGAAACTGTCTGTGTGTTTACTGCATCCTCAGCCCTTGCTTCATGGGCAACTTATCTTCTGACAAAGGTTTGTTGATACCAGAATTGCACATCGTATGTTTTTGCTTTTATTTATGTTCATTGTGAATTTGAGCTGCTTCCTTTTGCAGGAGATTATAAGGGTGCGGGGCCTGGCTTGACAGCAGCAGTTCCTCTCGCAATGGGGAATTTCTCAACAAGCTGTGACATGATGAGATTGTCTTCTAATTTTCCTAATAATTATTAAAATTTCATTGTTTTAAAATAGAAAAAGCCAAATGCATATTAGTAATATACATATATATCATCAATTATTATGTTTATTAGTCTAATATAGAACAAATTTAATAAATATAAATATATTATACTTAACTAATCTTGTTTTGAAATAAAAATAAATAAAATGTAAAATGCATTAATTTTAGATGCAAAAAAGATAAATTAACATATATAATTATAATTTTAGGAACAAATGAAGGGCTATTAAAGTGTTAACCCTCAGTCCAATGGCATGGGATCAGGCTAGAAATCAAGTCTCCGTTTTTGTACATGGCTAGAAATTAACTTTAAGTCTCTGTTTTTGTTAGATTTTGGATTTTTTTAATCTGAATCTTGTCTTTATCTATTTTATTTCTTAAAAAAATAACTATATTATAATAAATTATATTTATATTTTTATATATATTTTTTATACATAAATAAATGTTTATTATTTTATAATTTATAATAATTATTATTACTTAAATATATATTTTAATTTATTATATTTATATTAAAAAAAATATATAAAAGAAATATTTAATTATTTTTTAAATAGATATAAAATATTTATATTATTAATATTCTTATTATATTATATTTAAATATTTCATTATATATATAAATTAATTATTTTTTAAATTATAATTTAAAATAATTTTTAATTAAGATATATAGGTTATAAGAAAATGTTTAATATGTTAATTTTTATTTAATTAGTTAAAAGTAATACAAATTTTAATTCTTCATTTTTTTAATTTTTTGAAATATAATTATTTTATTAAGATAAAATTTGATAAATGATAAATAAAAATAATAAAATTTAAAAAATTGACAATAAAACCTAATATAAATAAATTAGAAATAAAATAATATTAATTATTGTTAAAATTGATATAAAATATTTATAAAAATTAAAAAAATTATTTTTGTGTTTGTTAAATTAGTTGAAAAGATTAAAAAAATCATATTGGTTGAAAATATTAAGAAAATATGAGGAAGTGAAAGAAAAAAAGAAGAATGAAGTGAATTAATTGATATAAAATATTAAAAAAAATAAAAAAATAGATAAAAAAAGAAAAAATATCAAAATATAAAAAAATAATTTTATATGATAAAAAATAAAAAATATTTTAAAAATATTAATATTTTATATTAATATTTAAATTTAAATATAAAATTGGGCTTCAATAAGAGTAAAGATTGAATTATCTATCTTTGTTTCCATATCCGGTGGTATAAGGTGAGAGAATTTCCAATCAAGTCAAGTTTTTTTTTTTTTTCATGTGAGAAGATGGATCAATCCTACTAGTAAACTCTTGTAAGGTGTATAATATAGTTATATTATTAAACTTTTGAGTAAATACTTAGATATGTAACGATTTATCACTTTAGTTTGTTAATAATGAAGAATTGACATTACCAACAGGAGAGATAAGCATCTCCCTTGAGCCATTTCCACGAGACTTCTTCAAATAACTATTTGAGAATAAAAATATTATTTTTAATGTAAATTTTAAATTAGTCTAAATGATTTATAAGTTTAAATGATTCTGTATTTAAAGATTTATATTAAAATAATATTATTTGTTATAATGTTTTTAATAATCTTTTTTAGATAGTCTAATAGTTATATATATTCTTTTTTTTCTCTCCACCTATTTCTCATTAAGACTTTTTGCAATTAAATTATAAGTTAAAATGATTCTGTATTTAAGATTTATATTAAAATAATATTATTTGTTATAATGTTTTCAATAATCTATTTAGATATTCTTATACTTTTATATATATACTTTTTTTCTCCACTGTTTCTCACTAAGACTTTTGCAATTAAATTATCAAGAACGTATTTTATGATAAAAAGAAAGGTATTATGAAATACCTCTTTGTGGTTATATATATATTTTTTCTCTCCTACCAACGTTTGAACCCGGAATGAGAAGATATTTGTCTTTTGACAATTACCACACAGACCAAGTTTGCCAGTAGGATTAGTTTCTTAATATATAAAATATGACTAAAACCTGTCACTAATGTATATTATATATTTTTGTGGTTTGGATCACATCCATGTTCATGTGAAGTCTACATTTATATATGGATTTTGTTATCTACACTTATTTTTTCCTATATCTTATAATTAAATTAAATCTCATTTTATTTTTATATTTATCTTTATAGTTAAATTAAATCTTATTTTACTTTTATATTTATTTTTATTTTTGAAATATATTTTAGATTAATCTTTCCAGAACATTTAATCCAGATACATTTCTAAAAAGGTCAAATTATTTATTGATGTTTCGGAAACACGTTCGATGTTTCAAAATGCATTTTCAGAAAAATCGATATGAAAATATATTTCGGATTAAATGTTCTTCTATTCAACATCATTTTTGTGATATTATTTCATATTGAATAATTTATTTTCAATTGTTAAAAAAAACTTCAACAAAGGTGATAATATAAAAAAAATCAAATAATCAAATAATAAAAGGATAGAGAAATAAAAGCATAGAAATTATACACAAATAAAAGAAGTTAAGATAAAAAATAAAATTATGAGAAAGGTATTTTAGATATTTATGTTAAGACATGAATATACTGGAAAAAAATATGGGATTATAGGAAGCAAGTGGCTTTATATTTTGGACCATTAACGGAGTAAATACCTCAAATTTAAGGAAAAGGGCCTAACTCTGAAAGCAATCTACAAAACAAAATGGAGACGGCAGAAAAACAATTATATAGTAATTTCTTAATGCTAGAATTTTTATTTATTCTTTTGATATTTTTTAATTAGATAAATAATTAATTTACTATGATAAAATATTTTTAATTTACTATTTATCATCATCATCATCATTTTAAATTAGATAAATAATTGATTTATTAGGATAAAATAATTTAAATAATTAATTGATAATTTTTTAGTTTTGATGTTGATTTTAAAAGAAAATTATTTAATATAATAATTGTAATTAGAAGAATAAGATGAAGGGTAAGAGAAAGGAGGAAAATAAAAGATAGTGAGATGAAAAAAAATAAAAAATGAATAAAATGACAAAAAAAAAACAAAAAAATAAAATAAAGAGAATTTATTCTCCATAATCTAATTTTATATATTAAATAATAAATATTCAGTTAGATAAATAAATTTATAGAATTTATTAAAATAATTTTTATTGTTAAAATATATTATTTATTTGATTGATTTTAGAATTATATTCTTTAAAAAAGACAGTTAACTTTCATATTATAATTTAATAATAAAATTATTACATCTAGAATTACTGCCGTAATTTGTATAATTTTTTTAACATTACTATTCATAAATATGATATTGAAATTATGCTACAAGTTTAAATAATTACTCTTAAACTTCTTTTATATATATATATATATATATATATATATATATATATATATATATATATATATATATATATATATATATAAAATTGTTTCACTAAGAATTCTTCTGTAAAGCATCAATGTGAAACATGGTATCCAGCTGAGTTAGCAGACTATAAAGTCACCCTTCTTTTGTATAGTATACTTGATTAATCTTGTCTATATATATCCACTTCATTATTTTCAATTGATCTTTTATCTATATACTTTATTTTTAAAAAATATATTTATATGAACAACAAACTAATTTTTTTATCCAAAAAAGTAAATTTCAGACTCAATATTACATCTATCAAGTCAATAGTTTCGTGCCACTATGAATTTTTGGAAAATTGATATTCACTCATCGCAACGGTTTGAACTAAAACATAAAAGATGCTAAAGGTTTTTTATCCAATTATATGAGGCTTATTTGAATCCGCTAACAACACCATAACCTCAATTCCTGATGCGACATACATGCAATGAAAGATTTTACAGTGGCCACCAAAATTATGACGACATATTATAGTTCTAGCTAAAACAAATTACCAATATAACTAAAGGTGAAAAAGGAAACTCTCTTTCTTGGTCTTACGAGTGGAGGGAGAGATGGAAAATACAACTGCTTCCATTAACATATTCATAAATGGTTTACAACGGAAAACATATTATGAAATTATCACAAACAACTTTTATGTACAAAGTTCCAATGACAATTGCCAAGGTTTGAAGTCAGCAAGCAGTGTTAACCAATGCCACATACATGTTTCAGCTTTCTAGCGTCTCACAATAATCGAAGCTCCCTTTTTCTTGCCTGATAGCAAAGCAGCCTGTGACCATGATGATGGCTTAAAGCCACCAGCTAGAAGGCTTGAGGCTGAAGTTGCACAAATTTTTCTTCGTTTTGTTTGTAGCTCCTGTTTTCTCTTATCAGAGATAGAATAGCTAGACACTCCAGAGAAGATGGATTCAGCATTGATCAGTGCCCGTTTGTCCTTTCCATTCTTGTCAAACTTAGTTGGAAACTTCACTCTTTTTGCTGTGGCAGAATCTTCTTCAGTAGCTGGCAATAGTCTTATGCCGAGGCCTTTTTTCTTGGAAGCATTCTCTTCTTCAGCAACCCTTTTCTTTTGACTCTGAAAAAATAGAAAAGTGTTAACAAATATTTATTTTCCTTAGAGCAGGTCGACAATATTATGTACAAAAGAAACAATATACTTAAAGGATTAAAATGGAAAAGGAATAGAAAAATAAACTACAACAAATATCATGAGCTAAGCAGTATACTCTAAGCCGGGCCCGAAGGGCCTTATTGAGAGCGTAGTCATCTGAATGCCTGGTATCAGACTGCCTCTGGAGACGTACAAGCACTGGTTCAGCTTCCTTCTTTTTCTTCAAGTCTTCTTCCTGGTGTTCAAGGCGGTAAAATGGATCTGCAAGCTTACCCCTCTCTGAAATAAAAAAATGAATATGAAGATAGTAAGCTAACATTAACCACAATATTTCAGTTTGCTAAATCAAAGGCGAAAAGAAAAAAAATTCAATCTAGTTAGATAGCCATTGGCCACTAGGGTCTGATAGAATGCTCACCCTGCTTCTAAAACAAAGTTGGTGACTGCATTGTGCACTAACACATTCAGGCTACTGAAGAAAACACTCACTGATACTGTATTAACATACCTTCGTCGGCAGGCAATTCAAAAGTTTCGGCATCCTCAATATCAAAATCTTCGGTTTTTTTCTGGGCTCCACTAATAATGACATATTCACAATTCTTAGGATCAGTCTGAATGACGATCTCATGTTTACAGCAAGCAGATTTCATAGTGAAGCTCCATATCTGAAGGACCAATAAACATTTATTAGAAAATAGTCAACAAAAAACTAAGGTTGAACATCATTAGAGGAGAGATAAAATAATGTATAATCAAACAAAAAGGTATTATTGGGCAATCCACACCCACACAATAGTAGAAAACTAAACAAAATATAACTGTTCGTAAGTTATATCACATCAACTGAAAATAATTTAAATAGAGATGCATTTGCAGTCAACCCCAGCATACCTTTGTTGAGTAATAATTCCCAACTTGCTTTTTCTCTGCATTGAACCGAACACCCTTTGCAATCATTGAATTGCATCCTCCACACCATATATTATAAGGCATCTCAAACCTGAAAGATGTTTAGTTAGATAATGTGAAATTAAATATTAAAGAAAAACAATATCAACATGGTAATCCTAGGCAAACCAAATTTAAAAAAATGTTGGAAGAATGAGACATGTCACAACAATTTTCCTAGCTTCCATATACCTTAGTGTACGTATTTTGGATCTGTCATACAAATTAAACGTACACAAGCACTTGAGGAAGGCGCACCTTAAAAGCTAGCCACTAAGGGAAGAGAACCAAACACTGAAACACTCCACTGAGCATTCCGTACTACTTGATGTGAGACCTAGGCAACCCATAATACCCAACTTTCTATATTACCCAGCTTTCACTCCATAACACCAGTTACACTGGCAACAGGCTTTGATACCAATTGATAAGTATCCAAGCACTTGGAGGAGAATCAAGCACTTAAATACTCCGCCAAACATCCCATACTACTCATTGTGGGACTTGGGAAGCCCATTATACCCAAGTTCATAACACAAACACTGTTACAATTACATCGTCATCCTTCACTGGTTCCCTTTCGATCTAGGAGAGATCTCGGTATTTTACAAACTTTAATTTCTTATAAATAAGCTTTTATTAAAACAACACTTAAATAAATAAGAACATTATAAATCTGCAAGAACATGTTCAAGCATGTATAATTTTATACAGATTCAGTTCATTCATAAGATATACTCATAATTCAGAGCATCTATCACAATACTTCCAATTTTGACATTTACACATCTGATTGCATGTAGTTTGTCCATGTGCTTGATAAAAAATATACATCAATTACTAAACAGGCTCATCGTTCACATTCGTCTATCATTCCATTTTCCAGACTATAGAACATAAAATAAGATAATGTAGTGGGACATATAATTGGGATCCCTTATTCACAAAAGGTAAACGGTTAACCTTAATTAATGGTTACTTTAGCTACTTCTGATTACCTTATAATCAAGATACCCTGATCTAATTTTCTCGCCCTCTCCCGCAATGCATGCTGACCATGAAACTTGTTCAGTGAACCCTGAAAAAGAAGAAAATGTATAAGTATCTTGATACTAGACAATTATTACGTTACAGGAAAACTTAACGACACTTGTTATGCAAACATACCTGACTCGGTTCCCATTCTGGAGGATAGTAAAAGTTGTCTGCTCTAGCAGCCGCAAGCGAAGACTGTAAAAGTCGAATCAGAGCAAACTCAGTATACCAGGAAATTAACAGACACCAAGTAGGCAAATACATCAGAAGCACCAAGAATCTTCTTAAGCCAAGAAACAGAATTAAAACAGAAAACCATTAAGCCACAACCAATCAATTGCCTAACAAGAGCAGAATCCATAGTTTTCCTCAAGAAAAACAGTTCTATCAAACATTAATACAGAGGACAACACATATACATATTAGAGAAAAACATGTTCTATCAAACCTTGGTACATAACTCACCATAATCAATGTCTATTCTTTTTCCCTTTTACAAAATTCGACCAGGACAACCAAGGATTTTCAATATACGGATTGAATTACTGCTAATAAAGGTTCTAATCGCAACAAACAAGAACCCAAATAAAACAGCCCTAATCAAAACAGAAAATAGAGATTGAATTCGAAAATTAAGGAGCACGGATTTGAAAAAAACCCTAACTTGATAGCCAAACGTAAAAAAGCAAAAATAAAAACAATACGCACCATTGTTGTTTATCTTCTTCAGACGTTACGAAGCTTTCCCCGCGGAATCTAGGATTCTTCACTGATTCAGAAAGTTTCGATCGGATGAAAATTTGTCGCAGAGGTTTTATTGTTTAGAAAGTGTTTCGCGGAATCTTTCGGGTCGGGTAATGCAATTGACCCGGTCAGGTGATATTAGTTTTTCAGCCACAAAAGACTACTCTCTATCTCGCGCTATTTGACCCGACTATATTCTTCAATAAATCAAATGGACTTTGAAAAGAAAATTTAATATTGTTCATTTTATTAAGTTTAATTACAATTTTGGTGCCTAATTTTTAACAAATTTTAAATATTAATTTTTAAATATCCATAATTTTTATTTTTGAATATAATTTTATTTTTTATTGTTTCATAATTTTGATAATTTTTAATTAAAATTTCGTAACAAATCCTTATTAAATTACTCCTTAATCTCAACGAAATAAAACATTACAATTATTAAACTAAAAAAATAAATTTTATTAAAAATATATCATATCAATTATTATCCTTTTTCAATACTGGAAAATAATGTGTATAACGAGTTTTTCTTTAGTTTCAATACCCAAAGGAATAAAGAAATATAAATAATAAAAAAATAGAAGATCGAAATTTATGAAAAAATTAAGAATCAAAATTATAATAATTAAAATTTAAGAGATAACTTTAAAAAAATTAGAAACTAATATTAAGATTTCCTTTTTAACGAAAACCAAAATTATAATTAAGTTTAATACAATATAAATTAAATTAGAGCAACATGTACAATAGAAACTTAAAAAAAAAAAAAAAAAAATCATTCAGTTGAGTAAAACACTTAACTTGACAACACGAATGCTACCACTCTTCTATTTTGTTTAAATTATAAATGTTTTGAGGGATAATATTTCTTTCTTCTATCATTAATTCTCAATCCCTTCATTCATATCATTGCGAGTGAAGAATTCATGTGTGTTTTTACATGGTAGTTGGCCTCTGCTGTACTACGAGAAAGTACTCAGAATATCGTATTCATGGGCACGGCTTCTTCCTTCTCGTTTCCGCTTCTTATCGCAACCTCCATTTCTCGTTCCTCGAAACCGCGTCTCGTCGTGGTGGGTTCTTCCGAAGGCGGTGCCTCTTCCTCAGCAACCAAATTGCTCACTTTTCTCGGCAAAGGTGGCTCTGGCAAAACCACCGCAGCTATTCTCGCCGCCCAGGTACAGTTTTCGTTTTCAATTACAATTACAAATTAAAATTCCGTCTCACATTTCCAACTTTTTTCCTAAGTGTTTTTTTTTTTTTCTATTATCTCAATGTAAATCTTTTGCACATGGGCAAGACAGAAAGAACCTATTTTCTCTGCTTCATGAAAATGGTTTGCACATTTGTTTATGCGCGTTTGTGAGTGTTGAAAGTGACGTCGCCTAACTCGTGTAATTTGGTTTGTTATGGATTAAATATATGTTAGGTAATCCACATATTTCCAATTCCACGTATTTCTTTATGTTGGAACCTTAAGATGAGAGCCAAAATCTATATCTTTCCGTCGTACGCCAAAAATTAGAATTAGTTGGGTATAAAGTAACTTTTTCTGGTCCCGCAAGCTTCGTTGGACGGGTAGGTTGAAAGTCCCATATTTGGTGCGGTTTAAATATATGTTAGACTACTCCACATATTGCCAATTGGTTTTATGTTTGAACCTTAATAATGAGCCTGAAATTTGAGAAGAAAAAGGAACATGAAAAGATGAATTAGGGTGTGCTTCGAACTTGGAAAAGTGTGTACTGAGCTTGTTTGAAGTTATATGAGTAACTTATGATTTATATAAGCTATTTTTCGCTCCATAAGTTTCTCTCTTTAAGTATATCAAAATTAGTGTTTTTTTTTTTTAACTTATGTCAAACTTCATAGTTAAATTTATGGCATAGTCTCTCATATGATAAAAATTGACAGAAAAAAGGTTTCCCTATTGCTTGTAGGACTTCCTTTCCACGTTATTTATGATTCTTTTTGTTTTGAACATTAGGTGAGATCATGACTCCAATAAGGCAAGTTTCATGTCTTTAATCATTTATAAGAGTTCAAAATTGTGTGCCAAAATTAAAAATGACCACTGTTTCAGAAAGGTTACATTGATCCTATTTAATGGTCTGGTGGAGGGGAGAGACATAGAGTGGATGAAAAATAAGAAAGGTGAAAGGAAATAGGTGGTAAATAAAGCGGAAATTAAAGGTGCTTGGTTGAAAAATGTGAAGAAGAAATAAGGAGAGATGGAACATGAATGAATATAAATGAGAAAAACAATGAAAAGTACTGGTGGATCCCACGATTTCGAAATTATTTCCACTATACCGAACACCTTAAATAATTTTCATCCACTCTCCCCTCTAATTTCTTACCAAGCAAATATTGGCTAAAAGATAAAGGACTAAACAAATTTTAGTAAAAAGATAAAAGGATCAAAAATATATTTTAGCACACATAAATTCCAATTAATAGTAAAAGTGTGTTAGAAAGAATGTATTTCCATTCCTGTTAAATGGATAGAAGTTCTTCCTGTACTGTTTATTTAAGCCTTTTAATAAAGTTGGAATTTTAACTTTTAGCTTCTAATACAGTAAAATGTCCGTCTATATAGTAAGACTTTTTACAATGGAAGACCTTTCTGAATGGCTCTTTGTGGTTTCAAAATAACACTTCTATGCTACATTTTGACCTTTGAATATGGTCATTAATGAAGTTTATGGTGGACTCTATCAAGGAACCTAATTTCTGTGTTACTTTTCCACCTTATCTTCCTCACATTTTCCTTTTCTTGGAGAAGTCACATTACTTAAGGTCTGTTTAGTTTGAGAAAGTAATTTATCTTCATTTCTTGTTTTCACCAATAATTATGAAAATATCATTTTCTTCTCACTTTGTCTCCTATTTTCAGAGATTTGTATAGAAAACAGTTTAAACAACAGATATTATGTTTTTGATACTTCTTGTATAACTATTTAATATTGAAACAAAGTGAAAACTAGGTGACATTATTGTAATTATTTGTTCAAACTGGGAACAAAATGATAAAAATGTATCTGAAACTGAGCAGGCTCCTACTTTTTTCTATTTTGTTGGAGGAGAACTCCACATTCTTTCTTTTGCCAAAAATATATACTGATAAAAGCATAATTATCCAATTCATCAGTGGAAAAGTATTAATTTCACTCTTTTTATTTTTTATTTCAGCATTATGCTTTGGCTGGGTTGAATACATGTTTGGTAATACATAACCAAGACACGACGGCTGACTATCTCCTCAACTGTAAGATTGGAACTTCTCATATTACATGCTGCAAGAACCTTTCTGCTGTTAGGTTGGAAACAACCAAAGTGTGTATCATCTTTTCCTTTTCCTTTCTATTAATAAATCACATAATGTACTTTTACTTCATGTCTAAAGAATCTGTGTCACCTGTAACTGCAGATGCTTCTTGAACCTTTGAAACTTCTGAAGCAAGCAGATGCCCAACTTAATATGACTCAGGGCACACTTGGAGGGGTGGGTACGTAACATGTTTTCAATATCATATTTTATCTATATTTACAATGAACACATATTCCCCTGATCCAGTTTTTATAGCGGGTTCTGTCCACTTTTCTCTGTTATATATTTAGATTGTTGGAGAAGAGCTTGGCATTCTTCCTGGGATGGACTCTATCCTATTGGTACTTGCACTGGAGAGACTTGTGGGGTTTTTGGGGATTTCTGCATCAAACAGTCGGCAGGATAAATTTGACTTAATAATATATGATGGTTTGAGCAGTGAGGAAACCCTGCGAATCATGGGTGGAAGCAGTAAAGCAAGGTTATTGGAATTGCTAGGCCATTGCACTCACATGCATATCCTTAACATTATCTTTGGTTTGATATTGTGATTTTGCAGATTGTACTTGAAATATCTCCGTACTTTGGCTGAGAAAACTGAACTTGGGAGATTGGCTGCTCCTTCACTACTGAGACTCGTGGATGAGGCCATGCTAATAAGTAGCAACAGATCTTATTTTAGTGGGAAAATGAGTTCAGAAATATGGGATACTTTGGATCAAATGCTTGAGGTAAGAGTAAACAACGTTTTACGTAATCATACCCTTCACACAAGACTGTAATTTTCTATGTTGTGTGTGTTGCCCAGAGAGGATCTTCTGCATTCTTAAACCGACAGAAATTTGGTTGCTTCCTTGTGATGGATCCAAATAATCCAACATCGATTAAATCTGCAATACGATATTGGGGGTGTACAATTCAGGCAGGTGCTCAGGTTTCTGGTGCTTTTGGAATCACCTCTCAGCAAGAAAGTTTAGAATCATTAGAAAGAGCAAGGAAAGAATTTTCTCCTTTGCCTTCTGCTTTCATTTCAAGATTGTCAATGAATAATCCTATAGATTGGGGCAGAGTTCTTCTGGATACTGACAACGAAGATGCCAGGAATCTTCTTAATTCACTTCCAAGTCAAGATGGTAATTTGCCATCACCAGTTAGCTTTGATAGAAAAGGAAGGTCGGTTACTCTCTTCATGCCAGGTTTTGACAAATCAGAGATCAAGCTATACCAAGTATGTAATAATACCCTTTCTGTTTTTATGATTTTTTTTGAACCATGATATTGATGAAATTCTTTGTGAAAGAATTTAAGATATAAAAATTGAGTGTCAATTTGATTTAGATTTTAGTAAAACTGCTTTGAATTGTTGAACATCATTGACATGTTTGTTCAAATTAATTTTAGCTACAGATTTTACATTGTAGTGTCAGATTGGTAAATTGATTATTGCTGCGAATAAGCTTTTGATCTAATAAAGTAATGGGACGAGTATTCACCAAAGTTTTGGTCAACTTGCTGGTAGATAAAATATGAAACCTGTACATTACGTCTTGAATGGTGCATATTTGATTAAATAATTTTCTTAACTTTAATGTTTGGTTGAACTGGATGGCTTGAACCCTCTGCTGTTTTATTGAATGTTTATGTTTGACAATTGTCATTTGGTGTTATATTGAGCTTCTCTTTCTATCACTAATTCTGCTCTTTACTGTGGTGCAACTTTGTGCATAACTTAATCGAGAAGTTGATTGCTTTTTCTTTCTGTTTGTCCCTTTCTCTTGAAAAACCAAATGCAGTATAGGGGAGGATCTGAGCTATTGGTAGAAGCAGGAGACCAAAGACGGGTCATTCCTTTGCCACCAGAAATTCAAGGGAAAGTTGGGGGAGCCAAATTTATGAACAGAAGTCTTGTTATTACATTGCTGTGACCCTATTATTCATTTTTATTTTCTTCCTTTATGCCTGCTGATAATTGTCAATGTTAGGTAGAGGCTTTTTTTATGCAAAAACTTCGAATTGGGAGATACCCATTACAGGAGAGGCAATTCTTATACATTTATTGTATGACTTGCTTTCATCAGTGGTTATGTAATGGAACAATAGCACATTGTTGCTTGTTATACACCAACATCATATATCTTTGGAGAATGCTTGTTCTGTTTAATGCTGGTGTAGAAATGCCTTTTTTTTTTTGCTTTGCAATTTACTTGTAATTATAGACCTTGAACTGTCAGCTCAGAATAATCTTGTGGAATTCGTTGGTTTGTGTTAGACCTAAGCATTTATTGAATAGTGTTCAGTTGAATTTCTTATTATAAGGAAAAGCATGAACGATGTTGGGATGCAAAGTTTCAATTACAATATGATTCTCGTATCATCATGGTGTAGCATCCAATATGTATAGGCTATGCAAATCAAAGCAAAATGAAAATATACAGCTGAAAAGGCAACATATATATGAGAGACACATCTACAAAGGAAAAATAAAATAGAAATAAGAGAACAGCTATTGTGGATATCCTATGTTTCTGATTTGTTATCTTCACCAGCCTGAGAGGTTTGAATGCGGCTCCTTAGATCTTCAAAAGCCTTCATGCTCTCTGCATCAAAGCCCCCTGCAAACTGAAAAGAGTTCCACACATCATATCAATGTGTGTTATTACCGGCTGTTTAACAAATTTTCGCATGACACATATCTCAAACATCCATATAAAATACTATTTTAAAATGCATGCAAGTTAATTTATGAAAAATGGTACTCGAGTTGCTTTGATATCCCAAAATTATGTTTAGAACAACTTGATTCCTGAAGCTTTTAACATATTAATAAATTCACCTCTTTGGAAACTATTTACTTAAATAACCATTTTTTTTGTTTAGAATTTAAGCAATAGTAGCAACAATTTAATGACATTTTATTTTGCAATAGAACAACATTTTAATAACACCTTTAATGATCTATGTAACATGGTTTTCAACCGTTTCAAAGAATGCAGAAGAATACGAGTCTACAGCAAATGAAACAAGGGCCCCAGAATTTACCTGATGGACACGGAAAGCGAAACGCACGCCTTGCAGAATCAAAAACTCTCTTGCTGGTTCTTTTTCTGGACCAGATAATGCATCAAGTTCAGATGCTACTCGTTTCATATACTTTTTTGCTAGTTGTACAGAAGAAAGCTTGATCTGCAATGGGAGTGTTAAACAAAGTGACCGAGTTAGCTACATCATCCTTGCAACGTTATAATGAGATTTAAAATTGTATGCTCAATAGTTAAACAAAGAAAACAGCACTTGGATGAACCAACCTCTAGTGTGAACCACAATACAGTTCTATCAGTTTTAGAAGCATACCTTGCCCACAACTCCTGAATCCAATAGCCAATTTACTGGGATTCCGAATTCCTTGTACCGTGAAATAGCCATATCTCTCGTCCGCAAGAGTGCATATACGCTTTGCTCCACTCTGGAAAGATAAACATAGCACACATGAAGACATGAGTAGATAAAAAGAAGTAACGGTATATATAGCTATAGAGCACTGCTAGAAACATGACATAATAAACGAGAATACTTCATGTTCAACATTTATGTCTCTTGAAGTTATGAATCTTCAGCCTTAAAGTATGTACATGAATTAAACAGCTTTATTTGTATGGATTATGTTATTAAGTTCTCAACTAGATATCCACCAATGGTAAACATATAAATATATAGAGGAAAAGAATGCATACTTTTCAAGCAATGAATACATTTTCTTCAGAGCAGCTTCATATGGGAGATTGGGATCATCAATGAAGGTGGAAACTCGGTTCTCCAACTTCATCAAATCCTGATATTCAAAAGCTGCCTCCCTTAATGCATCTGCTTTCCCTTCAGGCCAGTCAAAGTGCTTGAGAACGGCTCGTTCATCAACCTTGTATAAGGAATAAAATGAGATGATAAGTATGCTGTGGCCACTGGATATAAAGTTATAAGATATGAAAAATGAGATTAAAAATGAACCATAAAGTTATTAAAGATTGGAATGTGTTTTGTAAGGAAAAGAAAATGAAGAGGTTTTCCCAGTAAGTAAAGGTTAAATTTAGGAGTACACAGGTGCTATCTCATAAAGCTACATTTATGAATAAGCTTCGAGACCAAAAGCATACCAGGAAGGACAGTTCCTCATCTAGCCAGTTCACAAAGCCCACCAAATCATTAATATCGGAGAAGGAGGCTGCTCGAACTTCAGCTGCCAAGGACATGACAAAATCACCTTGTGTTTCTACGTCAGCTTTCACCTAATTGTTTCACAAAGGAAAAATATTTTTAAAAAATGAGTTATGCCTTTACTTGAAAATGAGAAAAATAGCAAAATAGATGCAAGCTTTAACATACAGCTAGGAGGAATGATGATCTATTCTCAATTTCCCCAATCATGTTGCTCCTGGCATCAGCTGCATTACTAGTTGAAGAAACTAGAAGTGTTGAAGTATCTTTCTTTGCCTCCCTTTTCATCAATGATTGATAAAATTCAACTAGCTGTGGAGCACGGTGAACTTTGTCACCATCCATTCCCCCTCTTGATAGGCTTCCTGGGGGAGGAGGTGGGGGAGGTGGTCCACCCGGTGGAGGGGGTGGCCTTGGAGCGCCTGGAGGAGGAGGAGGAATTGGAGGAGCAGATGGTACTCCATTAGAAGGATTTGCATTTGTGGTAATAGCAGCACCACCTAATGGTTTAGGAGGAGGCCTAGGCACCCTAGTTGGCCTTTTCTCAATGTGAGCAAGCTTCATCTTGCTAATGGTTTGATTATCAACATCCTTTCCATCTTCAGATTGATCATTTGCAGTGCCAGGTGCAACTGGTTTCTCCTTTATTTGAGAAAGCTTTGGTGGCAATGATATAGGACTCCCTCGTTCAGCCTTAGTCATGTTCAAACCTGAATTGTCACCAAACTTCAGCACTCTTGCTTTCTCTGCTTTTTCTTTAATTTGTTTTTCCCTTGCCAAGGCCAACTTGTGGCGATCTTTATACGCAGGGTACTTCTCATCCATCGATCCATCAACTGACTTAGACATTAATTGGAATGAAGCAGAAACAGAATTTAAGGAATCACTGGATGTAACTCTTCTCATGTCAGTTGGAGTTTCCGGAGACTCAATAGTTTCTTGATCCCTCAGCCCAAAGCTGGTGATGGATACACTATCACCGGCATTCCTTAGCATTAAGGATTCTAGTGGACCCCTTGGTTTAACACTCATACTCATCCTCCTTGGAGAACCTCCTGAAAAGGATCCCGCTGGTGATGAAAGAGTACTAGAATCATCTTTGCTTTTACCCCATCTCTTAAACTTTTGGATTAGGCTAGTTTTCTTGCTAAGACTACTATATTTGCTAGTAGAGCTATCAATGGAAGCGTTGTCAAAGTCTTCACTTCCTGGTGAAGATGGATGAGAGAAGTTGCTTTCAAGATCTGTGTCCCCTTGTCCACGTTCTGATCCAGCATATTCTAACATCAGTTGCTTAGCTTTCTCTTGCGATTTCGGGCTAAGATTCTTGCTGAGGTCACGGGCTGATAATTTTCCTTGGGGTGTCTGGTAATTCCTTAGCTCATATCTCAAGCATGCATTAACCCAACGAAGGTACACAAGCTCTTCAACTTCACTGAACCTATTCATCTGCAGCCCTTCCACTTGCTTTAGTAGGTCTTCATTTGCATGCCTCAAGTTACTGACCTCCTCTTTTGCCTTGGCAATCATTTCAGTCTGCAGTTAAAGCTTCTTGATATCAAACACACTCATTGCATGTACATACACACTTGTTAAACATTAATGCATCTCAACCATGAGAGAAGTATAAATGTTTCGTAACATTTGTCAAACAGAATTGAAGCCAATGGATGTAGCTTACAAATGAAAGTTATGCTCATTAAACAATGAACTTTATGTGAGTACTTGAATTAGATGAATACTTAATTGGCTAATGTTCAGTTTGCCAGTTTATATCTGATATCACTGAAGTTGTTCAGTGCTTTCAACTATCATTTTTAGTTGATGAGTACTTAAATATTCATTTGATAAGTAGAGAAGCACGACAACAATGTGATGCCAAATCATCGATTTTAAAATGTATGCTTCTATGAGGTTCAAAGCTTCAAAAATCTGCTGTTTTGGTTATAAGAAATTACTAAAATTTGGTTTCATAAATCTGTTCAGCTCAATGATCAAGAAAAGAAGTCCAATAAAGGATTCTGACCTCTGTCATGTTGGAGAGCTCAGCTGCTTTAGATTCAGCAGCATTGAGTTTAACCGTTAACTCTCGTTTCTCGTGTTGAAGTTCTCTGTTTCTTCTCTTAAGCTCCACTACTGCAACCTCTAAGTCATTCACAGCTTTCAGTTTCTTTTCAACTTCAGCATCTTTTCTGGCGGCCTCCTCTTCTTTAACCTGTAGGCCCAAAACTTGCTGTTTAAGCAACAACAACTGGCCTTTTGTTTGGTTAGCTTCAAGCTGTATCTGCCTTTGAAGCTCCTTGATCTTGTTTCTAGCCACCTCAAGTTCTCTCTTGGCAGAAGCTCCTTGTTTGAGTTCTTCTTGAAGCTTCTTCCTTTCTGCCTGCAAGGAATTGATTGTAATATTAAGCATGTCTACTTCTACAGTCTTTATTTTCAGTTGCCTTTGCAACTCCACAATGTCTGATTCCTGCTCCTTCAAACCATAGTACTCGAGCAATTCTCCTTCAAGTTTGACTTCCCTCTCCTCCAATTCCTTCACTAGCTGTCGCAATCTTTCTAGTTCACTTTCATTGTTTGCCATCTCAATTTCATAAACTCTGTCTTTCTCATCCTTATCAGGTGGTAATGGAAACTCAATCTCCCCAGACAGAAGATCTTCAAATTCTGGTAGAATATCATCTTCGAAGTCATTTGCTCGATTTATTATGCTGCTAATTAACTTAACCTCCTCTTTCTCCTCTTCCTCCTCCCTCTGCAACACATCAAACAACTTTTCTTTACACAAATGATATCAAAATGAAAAACGCACAAATTTTCCAAAGAAATATTCATAGCTGCGACATAAAATTTAGCTTGTTGAACTCACTTCTTTATCATGGTGTGCATCAGTAAGTCTTCTGACATGCTCGTCTTCTGTGCTCTCATCTTTATGTTCTGAGCCAAAATGAGGATAAAATCGAATTATCAATCACTACGAATCATATGCAATCATATTCCATTTCTTGACAAATGAAAATTGAAAAAACGTGAAAAACAGACTTATAATCTAGTACATGTACCTGGTTTTGAGCTTCTGACATTCAGCTGCTTAACTGTAAAGGCTGCAAGTGAAGCAGCAACTATGAGTCCTAACCTGACTATCATGAAGCTTTAGGTGATATAATTTCCTAATCTTGCATTTCTTCAAAGGCACCAATTTCCAGAACCAACCTCCACCCATTTCCCAAAACCGCCATAACAGATTGCTCAGACCGTTAGAGCCTCCAACTGGGGCAGAAGTTGGAAAAGATAGAGGCAGAAACAACAGCTAAGCAACCCCATGTCAGGAAACTTAATTTATATGCAAATTCAGTGGTATTTCCCACACAATTAACTTTATCATCTTATCGGGTTGAACTTTCTGTCAGAAACAACAGCAGCCACCAATAACTAGAGGCCAGCCATTTTCCGAAGAGATTAAGTTCACATTTTGTGTATTTGTGTACTACGATATATATATATATATATATTAATTTGTCACCAAATTTTGCTCAAGAGAATATTAACAGTTAAAACCTGGCAGAGGAGAGGAACAAGAGTGACAAGGACCAGTGACAGTAGTAAAATTGGAACAAAGACACGTTCCCCAACTGTCTTTGTTTCTTGGTTACTCGGTTGCTTATTCTGATCCCTGAATGATAATAGATTGTCTTTTCTCTCTCAAAGGTGGTTACACGTTGGTACAGTTTATATCATACCCAAATCTTCCTATATGTTTGAGCCACATTCAAGTATCCACGTTAGGTCGGAAAAATAAATGTTCCGTGGAATGATATGGAAGAATAAAATCAGACCATACAAATTTTCTCTTGATTTTGAAATGCATCCAGGTATGTGTATGCATATGAAAAAGTTGAATAAGAAAAAGGAAAAAGTGAAACATGAAGATAATTTGCGAATAATATCATAATATATTACTATTAGATTTCATTATATTTTAATCCTAAATCTTTTTTTAGCCTCTCAACTTAAAAAAAAAATCAATTTTAATAAAATATGATTTAGTTTTAAACACTAAATTTAAATTTAAGTAACTACAAAATAATTAAACTTTATAATTATTATTTTGATGTAAACCTGATAGCTATTAGCATATATAACTTGTGATTTTGTGACTATATAATACACATAAGCAAATAAATTTATTAATGGAATGTTATAATTTTTATTAGTGGAATATTATTTTTATTAATGGAATATTAAAATTTCAGTATAATTTTGTAATACATAGTATATATAATATAAATTTTGGTCTATATGAATAAGATATTAAATAATTTTGAACTAATATTAATATAAAGATTGGTACGCCTGATATGTAAAAAAAAAGATTTTGAACAAAATATAATTTAAAAAACCGTAAATGATATAATAACTTATAAAGGTATAATTTGATTATATATATATATATATATATATATATATATATATATATATAATAAAAAAAGTCATAGAGATATGATATTCAACATTAAACTACATGATGTTGATATTGGTGTATTTTTATGGTTCTTATATTCTCTTTAAATCTTTTTTCTTATTTTGAGTTTTATTCTGTATATTTTTGTTGGTCAAGTGGCTATTACAATATGAGCCCATATTTTCATATTAAAGAGCAAATAGACTCCAAACATTTATCTCTGTATGTCTATTCTTAAGCTTCCTATAATTTTATTTTCAAAAAATAGAGGAAAATAAATTAAGATATGCTTTTTCATAAGAAAGTTCTTTCATGGTTCTTATTCTTAGCAGAGGACCCACCAAGAAAAATGGTTGATGAAGGAAGGGTTTCAATTTGTCTGATTAATAGGAGTAAAATTTAGATTTTTGGAAAAACTAAGAAGGGAAAGTTAAGATTGATGCTACATTTGATTTAAGCAAAGGCTAAGTTGAAGTTTAGTTGGTGTTGTGAAGTATATGGAAGTTACTCACAACAAAGCAAAAAGTTTATGTACTGTTTAGGGTAGTGACCCACACCACACCACTTCTTAACCTTTTTGGCATTTCTTCAGAACTTGTTGTCTATGAGGTTGTTCTGTGCATTTGTTGCATTTCATAGCACATGCTTAGGATTCGTGTCTTCCAAGGAATATTTCTGCAACAAGATTACTTCCATGGCCATGGGATTTTTTTTTCTTCTCTGGGTAAAAAACCAAATTTGGCTCTTTCTTGCTCATAATCCAAAGAAAAGTAAAACAAATTGATGGAAAGTTTCCCAAATATTTGAGCTATTTTATGTTTTTTTAAATAAATAAAAGTTGTAACAGACATAAGGTATGGTCTTAGTTATCTTCCCTAATACACAGTCTTGAGAAGGAAAAATGTTCGATATAGAAATTTTATGACAGGAAAATTAAAAAAAAAAAGGATTTTAATATGTATACAATTAATTTATAGAAATTTTTAATATATTTTTCTTTAAATTTTTATTGTTTTAATATATGTATAAGTTAATTTAATGTATAGAGAAATATTTTTTTCTCTGGAAATATTTAGGAAGAAATTTGTAGAAAGAAAAGGAGCCAACCAGAAGAAGCACAAATTGAAGGGAAGAAAAAGGTCATAATCGTGGACATTAATTCGGTGGGTTCTCCACCCACTTGAGGCCGAAATATCATCCAAATCCCTCATGCTTCGCAAACATAGACCACAAGATTGCATTCAAATATTCTTTCGTACACGATTCATCCATTATAAAAATTGAAATTTTCCTTTATAACGTAAAAAATTAAATTTCACTTTCAAAAGTCTATTGGAAAATGTGTTATTCCGGGTTAATAATATTTCTTATTCAGGAGTTGTGTTATTGTTATTATTAATTTGTTTCAACATATATAATAAATCTTGAAGTTCTCATTACCACATGAAAAAGAGAGTCGAGCGATTTGTGGATATAGATATTTGCTTTCAACAACAAAATAAGATATGTTTTTATTTTTGTTTAGAAATTTGTCCTTAAACTTTGGTCTCTAATGTGCTTTCATATCATGTATTTGAGCATACTTATTATTGTGCGTAACATATTTTAGCTACTTTTTTAGGTAACAAAAATGTATCTTCGTTGCATATTCTAGAGAATGCATTACCAAAAACACTAGTCTGGATGTTAGAAAATAAATATTATTATTACTCATATAACTCATTAATGGTATTCTTCAATTAAATCAAATATAATTTATAAGATTCAACCTTACCTCTTTTACCATTTTTTTTTTTATATATAAATCTCCAATAACAAGATATTTCTAATTTCTTAAGTTGAATTTTTCCCCTATGAAATCTTTAATTAGAACCAATATACGAGACTCAATTTTTTCAGGATCACAAATTACATTTTCTAATGTGAATTGCTTAAAAATTCTTAAGATTCCTTCCATTAAAACAAAATTAAATATAAATTATTTAACAATGGTATAACACAATAAGAACCCCAAACTATAATTTTTTAATATATAATTTCACTCTATATAAATTTTTTAACACTATTATATTATGCTCTTATCTTCATCTTCCATGCAAATTCTCAATCAAGATGGAAGAAAAACCTAATTTGGAGAGATAATAACTGTTATGCAGAGTGACATAGTAGACCTAAATCCTATTCTGACGAGGAAAGTCATATACGTTCATCTTATCCCTCACAGAGAAGACACTAGGACAAAAACAATAATTGAAAGCACAGTCGAATAGAATAGGCTTCTCAGGAGAACAAAAATCGATATCTCGATTATAGATTTCATGCAATTTGGAATTATTCCACTTCCTATCATATGCAAGACAAGTCACCGGTGATATGCTAGTATATGACATTTTAGATTAAAGGGAATTTCGTAAAGCTTCAAAAACATGAAATAGAGAAACAGGATCCACACACAACTTTGAGTAGATAAGACAAGACTGGCTGCGTTCCCTCCTCCCTCCCAATCCAGCTCACGAGTGGGATGGAAAATCTTTAAGGACCACAGGAATTAAACCAACTCACATCAACACTTTCCTTTTTGAATGTGTATATGCCACCAACGAAGGATGAAGCTCATCATCACCCTTAATCCTTTCCTCCCTCACAAAAGACCACAATACCATAAAGAGCATGGTAGCGTAAAGGAATTATGCTATTAGAGTGTATGTAGATATGTTAATTTACAATTTGTTGGACGTGTCCCCTTCAAGCTTGGTCATCCCATTTCCATCTTCGCCCTACCTCTTCGAGAACAGCTGCCCGTGCTTGGCTTCTCCTTGCCTCGTCCTCCACCCAAGATCTGCAACATTTGCATTATTCATTAGACTTGCCTCATTCCCAATACAATCAAAATTTCTAGCAGGTTCACCTGGATGAATGTAATTTTACTAGTTTGTGCGTCAGATCAATAATTTTTTAAAACTGCAGACTACGCTTCTAGCATAAGAGGGCCAACCAATACTACCAGATGACTACAAACTTTTTTGCTAGAAAGATAACTCCCTTCAAAAACTTCAGCATCAGCAACACTTCGCAACTTTTTATGCTAAATTATGCATATATATGGAATCAAAGAAAAGAATTAACTACAGAGTAAAAGAAATACCCCCATAACCAGGTACGAGATTGAAACAAGAATAAAAAAAAAACATAGAAATAATTAAAAAGCACTTCATGTAATACAGTTTTACTGAAATTTCAGCTCCTGAAAGAACGATGGGCCTCAATTGACCCATTTGTAGCTAACCTAAGCAACACAATGCTATAAGTGACTTAAAAAAGAAAATCATGTATCACTAAGTAGAATTCCCAAGATATAATCAAGGCAGGGACTTATAGAGATTATACACAGAAAAGACCCATAAAAGTGAACAGTTTTGACCTAAACCGAGGGTAATGGCCTTTACATGGAGAGTTGTTTAGGTTCTGGAATTCCATGGAGAGTTGAGGGTTTCGGTTGAAGGTTATAAAATGTGGTATAGTTTCATCACTATCAACCAGTTTGGGTCCTCCCTAATCGTGACTGCGACCCATCAATAAATCTAAATATATCAGTTCAAAGAGAAAAATATATCATTAGTAAAATAAATTTCGAAAGAAAGCTTCAAATTATTGGGTTCCATTATGAATTGATCCTAGAAAGAACGCATCCCAACCATTTAGCTACAAAGGAATGTGTTTATCACATAAAAAAGTGTTGACCCCAAATAACCTACTCCAAAACCTTCCCCCTTCTTATACTTTAGAAGCCTCCATATTTTGAAAGAGCCATAACTCAAGACAGATAGATGTGTTGACACGAGCCTAAATTCAGGAATATCAAACATAAACAAGAGTAAAAATGCCAAATAATCATCAGGCTTTAGAACCCTCCAAATTTTGAAATCGTCATTTGGAAAGCCATAAATGAAGATGGATACCTATGTTGACATTAACAAGTGCAAGTCATAAATTACCTAAGAATCTGAAGAGCTTCTTTTTCAGCTTCTAGTGTTGATTTGATGTCAAGCAATTCTTCATGCTTGAATTCTAAATCTTTAAGCAAATTTTGTACAACATGCCTTTCGTCTACATATATGACTCTCTCTGATGCAACTTTTTCTGATATCTCATCAACTTCTTTCTTTAAGCTAAGCAGCAACTGCCTCTGACAATCCACGGCTGACCTTTCTTTTAAATACTCAGCATATAACTTATCTTGATTGATCTCCTCTTCTTCCAAATTCTTTACTTCAATATGATAAAGCCTCTCAACATCAAAACCACGATTTTTCTCTTCATTAAGTTTCTCATCCCAAAACTTCTGTATCTCTCCTCGGTTAAGCAACTCAGATCTGATTTCTTCTGCCTCAACCTGCCTGGCAGAATTATCAGCTTCTATTCTTGACAATTCAGCTGATATTGACTCCTCCATCCTACCACTTGTCAGAGCCACTGCTGCTTGTGCTATTGTTGAAGGCTTGTTTGGCTGAAATCGCTTGCTCTGTCCTGTAACAATAAGTCCACAGAAGATTCCACATATGATCATTCTTCATCATGACATTCTTAGATACATAGAAATAATTCAATAAAATATATAAAAAGCCTCACTATTAATGCATTAAACCTGGCCTACTAATCAAGGTGTATGCATAAAACTAGGGATGGCAAAACGGGTCAGGCCCGGCGGGCCAGCCCGTCAGCCTGCCATAATATGGCGGGTCGGGTTGTTGTTTTCAGCCCACCAGCCCGCTTTGGCCCGCCCCATGCAAGCCTGCCAACCCGCGGGACAGGGCGAGCCAGCCCGCGGCCCGCCTAATTAATAAAAAATAATTTTTTTATTGTAATAAAATTAATTATAAAGATAATATATAAAGTTAAAAATTTTAAAAAGAGAATTAAAAAAATTCTACTCTCTTAGAAAATATTCTCCTTAAACACAACTTTCTCTCTCCTGTTCTCCTTGTTCATCCTAAACACAGATTATTTTTATCCTTATGACTTGAATTAAAGGTGTAAGAATTACTCAACCAAGAATAATGTGAAGTTTTATCAAATAAAAAAAATATAGGTATTTGAATTTTTCAATATAAAAAATATAAATTTTATAAGTTTTAACGTTAGTTATATATATATATATATATATATATTTGTTATTATTTATTATTATGTAAATTTTATTATTGTTCTAAATTATAATTTCTTAAAACAATGTATTGATTTATATTATTAAATTAAAATAATATATATATATATATATTGAATTATTGACAAACAAATAATAATTTTATTATTTAATTTATTAAAAAAATTTATTTTAAAAAATAAATTATTATTTTTTAAATTATGGCGAGCCAGTCGCCAACCCGCCCTTGGCGGGTCGGGCCAAGGTCTACAACCCGTCATGACTATAACGGGTCAGCCCGCCCCGCTTTTGGCGGGCCAAAGACGGGACAGGCCAAAACGGGACGGACTGACCCGTTTTGTCATCCCTACATAAAACAGGTAGCAGGTACTCAAAGTACGGAATCTAATTTTGTTTCTAATTTCATCATGCTTCTACCGCTACACTTGCTTCTACATTTTGACGTCAAATAATCTATAACGTGACCTATTTTCATTTTGTTCCCAATTCACAGTACGTAAATTGAAATTTGAATTTAGCTTTCAATTAAATGAAATATTTATAACTTATCATATGTCTCAAACTATCCAAGTTTTACCATCTTTGAAAACAAGAAATTGCAGGTAGAAACGTTAAGGAAATTTGTTGTGAGCAACAAAACAAAATAAATGTCAATGAATAGTGGAAAAGCCTGAGAAGTAATACCAAAAACTTTTCTAAGTATACTCCTATCCCCTGCCAACATGTCCACATAAACTGCCGGATAAGTGATCTCCTTCACATCCATATAACCTGCTTTTCTAATTGATATCTGGACTGAAAAAAGTCAGGTATTAAGAGCTACTGAAAGAAAGGTCAAGTTTTAATCATGAATATTTAAAACTATCCAAATATCTAACTTTTATAGACAGCTTACCTGGTCAGTTACCCCAGAAAAGAAATCGTACTCCAACTGAGATCTCCAATCTATTAGATCTTGCCGGGAGATGTATCTGCATTGCAAATTATTAAATTCAGTAAAATAAAATTGATTGTGCCATGTAGGAGGATCGAATACAAATATACCTATCAGGAAAAAAGTGTATGTTTTCTTGACTGTTAGATCCACTATAATTGAAACTGCTGCTCCAGGATAATTTGCTGGGGATCACACCGGCTTCTGCTAAAACTTTTTTCACAAATTGAAAAGCCAACATTAAAATATCTGCACATAATTGAAACATTATGGGTTGAGTTAAAGTTCCAACATTTTTACCTTGTATGGATCTAAAGTCCGGGTCAGCAATACCAATATCATCAAATGCAGTAACTACAGATCCAGCAAGAGATACTATAGGAGCAATCCTGTGTTTGGGATTCCTGGAAGACAAGGAAACCATTTTCAATGGAACGGAATCCAAGCAGGGTTACAAATTTAGCTCATTTCTGACTGCAAAGTTGCATCCATGGTGTATCCGAACTACTAACCTTTCCAAGGATGAATTCAATTTAACTAGCCATCTAGCAAATTCTCTTCTTGTACACAGTTCATTAGCTTCCACATCATCTTCAATTATCTAGACAAGTACGCAAACACCACAATTTCAAACTTAATAAAACTCAACCTAACATGAAAAATATAGCACATGGTTTCAGTGCTGCATCAGACAGCATAACACATGAGGCAACAAACTATAAGTGCAAAATCCACAAATTAAAGTAGCACACCAAATCATAATGTAACAGTATATGCACAATTTTCCAATTCCAATAGGCAAAATAAATCAAATTTTATCATCATCATCATCATTTATCCATGCTAGAATTATTATTAGGTAATGGTTAGTGGTTAGTGATTGGTGGTTGGTAGTTGTTGTTTTAAATGCTGTATTCCTATATATATATATATATATATATATATATGAGATCATAGAGTGGAGAATATCATTCAGAAATCTTCTTTTTAACTCTCTTAACTTGGTATCAGAATAGGTTAGTCTTGCTCTGCTGGCCACCGTCTGACCACCGTCCGGCCACTTTTCCGATCACTTACTGGCAACTTTCCGACCACCTTCCAGTGACCTTCCGGCCTCCGTCCCGCTACCACCGCTGCTGCCATTCGTCAGTTTTCTTGCAAAGTGAAAATTGATACTTCCCTCTCTATCTAATTCTATCTTGGGTGTTCTCCTTATAAGTTCCATTGTCTCCATCTTACATCTACATTATTTAAAACATGTCGTCAGGGCCCACAACCTCCTTTTCCGGAACTCCCACTATAACGGCTGAGAAATTAAATGGAAAAAATTACATGTCTTGGTCCTCTTCGGTGGAACTTTAGTTCCTTGGACAAGGGTTTCACGATCATCTAGAAGAAGACGGAAGTAAGATACCAGAAGATCAGGCTCAACAATGGAAAAAGCTTGATTATCAACTCTGTGCTCTATTGTGGCAATCATTAGAACCAAATATTTTGAACACTCTCAGCTCCTTCAAAACATGTAACTCTTTCTGGAAAAAGGCTTAGAATATCTTCGTGTTCCAACTCTCAAAGGAAAAAATAATCAAGAACTTAGTGAATCTTCTGCTATGATTTCTACTCGTGGAAGAGGAAGTCGCGGCACTAGAGGAGGACGTGGAGGTAGAGGACGTCCTCATTGCACTCATTGCAAGAGAATGGGTCATACCCTGAAAAATTGCTACTCTTTGCACGGTTTTCCTGACAAAACTGTTAATTTTTCCAACTCTGAAATAGTTGAACCCAAGTTCTCTCACGAAGAATATCAAGAATATTTGAGGTTGAAATCCAGTAATCTAGCACAGTCATCATCAACCCCAAATTCATCAACCGCTTGCATTTCACAATTTGTGGAAAGTCAAAATCCATGGATTATTGACTCAGGTGCTTTTGATCACATGTCTAGTAATACCTCTTTGTTCTCTTCTCTCTCATTTCCTAAAACTCCTCCTCTCATAACCTTAGCCAACAGATCTAAAGTAGCCTCTAAAAGAACGGGTCAAGTCTCAATTTCTCCGTCTCTAAACTTAAAATCTGTTCTTTTTGTTCCTTCATGTCCCTTCATTCTCATTTCCCTAAGTCAATTAACCAAATTATTGAATTGTTCAGTAACCTTTAATGCCAACTCTTTTGTTATATAGGAACGTGGTACGGGTCGACAGATTGGTGAAGGACATGAATCTGGAGACTTATACTACCTTAGGACTAAATCATCGGTATCTTGTGTTGCATCCTTGTCCCCAAAACTATTACACGAACGTTTAGGGCACCCTCACTTGTCAAGATTAAAAAAAAAGGTTCCTGAACTTCAAACTCTTCAAGATTTTGAATGTGAATCATGTCAACTAGGGAAACATACTAAGTCCTCTTTTCCTAAACGTTCTGAATCTAGATGTGGCTCTGTCTTTTCTCTTGTTCATTATGATATTTAGGGTCCTAGTCGTGTCTCATCCTTTGGCTATAGATATTTTGTTACCTTCATTGATGAGTTTTCTAGGTGTACTTGGATTTATCTAATGAAAGACCGTTATGAATTATTACTTATCTTTAAGTCTTTCCTTAACGAAATCAAAAATCAATTTGGAAAAGTAATCAAAGTTTTACGAAGTGATAATGCCAAAGAATACTTTTCTACTGATTTCTCCACTCTATTAAGTTCCCAAGGCATTTTACACTAGTCTACTTGTCCTCACACACCACAACAAAATGGTATAGCAGAACGAAAAAATAGACATTTAGTTGAAACTGCTTGTACCTTATTACTTAGTGCAAATATGCAGGTTCATCATTGGAGAGATGCTATTCTTACTGCATGTTTTCTCATTAACAGAATGTCATCTTCTTCTCTTGACAATAAAGTTCCACACTCTATTCTATTGTCAAAGGAGCCACTCTTTCATGTTTCTCTTCTTGTATTTGGTTGCGTATGTTTTGTTCATAATATGTCTCCAAGTTTAAATAAACTATCAGCTAGAGCCATCAAATGTGTCTTGGGATATTCTCGTCTTCAAAAAGGATATTGATGTTATTCTCCTGAAACCAAGAGGTATTACATGTCTTCTAATGCTACTTTTTTTTAATCAACTCCCTTCTTCCCTTCTTCTACGCAAGATATTAGTTCGGTCCAAAATGTCCTACTTATACCCTTAGTGGAGTCATTTGTACCTCCTCCTCCTGACACCTAAAATTCCATACAAAATACACCGGAATCCTCATCACTGCCTCTTATTACCTATCAACACAGGAGCCAAATGATCAGTCTCATGTCCCAAGATGAGTCTTCCTCAGCAGTTCCTTCTCAATCATCCCCTGATATCACAATTCCTGATAATGATGACTAAAGTTGGCCCATTGCCATTCGCAAAGGTACTCGCTCTACTCGTAATCCACATCCCATTTACAATTTTCTTAGTTACCATAGATTGTCTCCTTCCTATTTTTCTTTTGTTTCTTTTGTATTCACTATCACTATTATTATTTGCAAAGGTACTCGCTCTACTCGTAATCCACATCCCATTTACAATTTTCTTAGCTACCATAAATTGTCTCCTTCCTATTTTTCTTTTGTTTCTTCTGTATCCACTATTACTATTCAAAAAAATGTGAAAGAGGCACTTGATCATCCTGGATGGCAACAAGCTATGATTGAAGAAATGCAGGCTCTTGAGCACAATGGTACATGGAACTTAGTTCCTCTTCCACCTGGGAAGAAGACTGTTGGTTGTCGTTGGGTCTATGCCATTAAAGTTGGACCAAAAGGTGAAGTTGATCGACTCAAAGCTAGATTAGTAGCAAAAGGCTACACTCAGATCTATGGCCTTGACTACAGTGATACTTTTTCTCCTGTGGCCAAAATGACTACTGTTCGACTTTTCTTTGCTATGGCAACTATCCGTCATTGGCCTCTTCATCAGTTAGATATCAAGAATGTTTTCTTGCATGGTGATCTTGAGGAGGAAATTTACATGGAGTAACCTCCTAGTTTTGTTGCTCAGGGGGAGTCTAGTTTGGTTTGTAAGTTACATCGTTCTCTCTATGATCTCAAACAATCTCCACGTGCTTGGTTTGAAAAGTTCAGTTACATTGTTCAAAGTTTTAGACTAAAACGAAGTGAAGCAGATCATTCTGTTTTTTATTATACTGCTTCAGGAAAATGTGTTTATTTAATTGTATATGTGGATGATATAGTCATTACAGGGGATGATGTTGATAAAATTTCTCTGCTAAAGAAACATTTATGCAATCACTTCCAAACTAAGGATCTTGGTTGTCTAATATACTTTCTAGGGATTGAAGTGGCACAATCAAAAGAAGGCATCGTAGTCTCCCAAAGAAAGTATGCTTTAGATATCCTGAAAGAAACAGGCATGATTGATTGTAGACCAGTAGATAGCCCTATGGATCCAAATCAGAAATTAATGGCGGATCAGGGTGAACCGCTCTCTGATCCTGAGAGGTATAGAAGACTTGTTGAGAAACTCATTTATCTCACCATTACCAGACCTGACCTATCTTTTGCCGTTGGAGTTGTCAGACAGTTTATGCAAAATCTGCGTACTGATCATTGGAATGCTATCGTTCACATCCTAAAATATCTCAAAAAAGCTCTAGGACAAGGTCTGTTGTATGAAGATAAAGGGGTACCCAAATATCTGGGTATTGTGATGCTAATTGGGCTGGATCCCCTATTGACAGACGCTCCACTACAAGATATTGTGTTCTCATTGGAGGCAATATTATTTCTTGGAAAAGTAAGAAACAAAATGTAGTGACCCGATCTAGTGCTGAAGCTGAATATAGAGCAATGACATCTCTCACTTGTGAACTAGTGTAAGTGAAACAATTCTTTCAAGAACTGAAATTTTGTGAGATCCAACAGATGAAGATGTATCGTGACAATCAAACAGCTCTCCACATTGCCTCTAATCTTGTCTTTCATGAAATGACCAAACATATAGAACTTGATTGTCATTTTATTCGTGAAAATTTGTTGTCTAAAGAAATTTGCACTGAATTTGTCGGGTCCAATGATCAACTTGTAGATGTGTTAACAAAGTCTTTAAAAGGACCTCAAATTGAATTTATTTGTTCCAAGTTTCGTACATACAATTTGTATATGTTAAGGTTCCAACATAAAACCAATTGGCAATATGTGGAATAGCCTAACATGTATTTAAACCATACCAACTGATATGAGGTAGGTGATGTGGGACTTTCAACACACCCCCTCCAACGAAGCCTGCCGGACCAGGCAAAGGGTACTTTTGACCCAACTAAAGGGCAACTTTTGGCCCATGACAATAACCGGAAAGATGTTAGGCTTTGGCTCTGATACCATGTTAAGGTTCCAACATAAAACCAATTGGCAATATGTGGAATAACCTAACATGTATTTAAACCATACCAACTGATATGAGGTAGGTGATGTGGGACTTACTTGAAATAGAAAAAAGAAAATAAAGAACTGATTTTGAGAGCCTGAAATCATCTTCTTGTGTTCTCTTATTTATAGGAGATAAAAATACAGATTCAGAGATACAATTAATAGAGAGACATGATTAA